CTCAATATATATATATATATATAGAGAGAGAGAGAGAGAGAACATGATCAGATTTGGGTTAACCGAAATCCTTTTTTTTTTGAGAAAAGATAACTTCTATTGCATTGAAGAAATGAGTACATGAGATGATGTACATTAGAACAGAAACAAAGAAAGGATTCTCAAGGATTAAACAGGCATGGTCCGATCACTATATAAATTGTCTAAATGGGCTCCAGATTCAATTCCCTAGGGACCCAAGACAGGTTGGTGTTCATGCTGACTAGGATATCTCTAGCCTCAACCAGGTAGTGAGCCAGTCTCCAAGGACCATTATCCTTTTCTCCTAACCGTTTGATTGTGTTTGCAGAGTTTCCTTCAATGGATAAGGATGAGAAACCCAAGTCTCTGGCTACTTTGATTCCAATGAGAGCTGTCATGATCTCAGCCTCCGTAGAATCTACTATCCTGATTGGGCCACTAAAAGCACTGAAATGTTGTCATCCCTCCCATAAGCTCTTTGAAGTGGAGACGGATGCGTCGGGTTTGGCGATCGGTGCTGAGGAGGGAAAGCCGATTGCATTTTTCAGTGAGAAGCTAAACGAGGCAAGGAAGAGCTTGTCTTCTTCCGACAAAGACAAGYGTTGTATGCATTGGTGTTTGAAGCACTGGAGGCATTACCAACTTCTGAAGGAATTTGTCGTGTACACGGCTTGAAGGTTTCTACAGAGAGAGATCTTTCTTGCAAACGGTTTTTCTGGAGTTTTCATCGGTTCGAATCTGGGAGGATGAGGATTTTGCAGAGGCTTGGAGAGAGTTAGCCTGAATCCTGTGAGTGGGAATTGATGAGAATGAAAATTATCATATTTTCACCCCTTAATATTCAGTCTTTTATACTTCTTTAGTACCTAATTGGACTCACTATTCTTGTGTTTTGATTTAGGGCACGAAACGAGGCGCTAGGAGAAAAACAAGGTTAATTGGGTAATTTTGCACTGTTTCGGTGCCGCGTGGTAATTTGAGCATAACTCTCCCATCCGGACTCCGATTGAAATGATTCAAGATGCATTGGAAAGATAAGGAAAAACTCTACAACTTTCATGTTTTGAGTTTTGATAGATTCGGACTGCATCGAGGTCAAAATCGGGCCCGAAGTCTAAGCAAACTCGTAGAGAAGCCCAATTCACAGAGAAGCCTTGCAGCGGCCCAAATCGTTGAAAAAGCCCAATACGAATTTAGCATGCAAGAATAAGAATTCGGCTGAATCATCAAAGAGTTTTATTAGATTCAAATTCCTGCTGTATTTCAAAAAAGAAAAAGAAAAAGAAAGAGAGTTAGAGTCCATCTTGGTTAAGGATTTTTGTTTAGAGAAGGATAATATTAGACCTGAATTAATCATTAGGAAATAGGACTTTCTATTTTTGAGAAAGAACTCCAAAAAGGAGTTGGAAACAGCCCCTCCTCCTAAAGCTATATAAAGAGGGGCAGACTAGCACCCAAGGCATCATCAAATCCTCCAAGAGAGCTTCAACCTTCGAAGAGATCAATCAGCAACCAAGGAGGAAGAAGCAGAGTTCGCCCCCTCTCATCTGGAAGCTACGATTTCATCATGAAGTGTGTGTAAGGTTTTATTTTCTGGTTGAAAGGTTAGGGAAGCTTTGATTCTATAAACATTGTGAGATCTAATTGATTTTTATTTCAGTTCATTGTTTATGGGTATTCATATGTTTTCTGCGATTTCCTGTGAAGATTATTTTTATTGATTAAGCAAGAAGGCGCCCTTGCTCATTCAACAAGAATAATCTATGGCCGATTGAACCTCCAATTTCGTATATGATTGGTAGGTTTAAAAATGGTGGCAACTAACATAATTGATTATAGAAAAATTTTCGATTTCTGTTAGGAAGGTATATGATCTGGTTTAAACGGTCCGAACTTGTGAGATCACTGACCAGAATTGGGTCTCTCCCCTCTTAATGCTATTAATAGATTAAATCCTAAGAACTTGTTTAGGACTGTCTATTAATAAGAAAAGCAATCAAAGAGCTTGTTTTGGTTACCGAATAATACGAGTAGAGGCTAGCTGTTAGAGCTTGTTAATGGCTATAACCAATTTATTCATAAACATATGAATTTATCCTTGCATCGATGATCAATGATAAGAGTCAAAGCTGAACTTGTCCCTTCAACCAGAAGCTATCTCCCATCAATTTGATCCTTGCTTTCTGTTGTTTTCTTTTATTTCATCTTATTTTCCTTATCTTTACAAGCCCCCTACTTCGTTTACTTGGAAATAAATCCACCCAATCCCTGTGGAGACGACCTTGCTCATCACTATATACAAATATTTAATTTGAGCAGGATATTTATCTTTGGTTGGATCCGACACCCACCAGGAATCCCCAATTCCAACAACCCCCAGGTTATCTAAAGTGCTTCCATCAAGTTTAATTTCATCACCCCCTTCTAATATAGTTAATGAAACTCAAAGGGAGGGTTGAATTCAAAGTGAAAGTGAATAGATAATTGGTCATAGTCCTTGCAAATCACTCTTCGAAATTCCTTTGAAAGCCTCAGAGTTTGCAACCACAAATTACAGATGAATAATATGGGAAATTAGATCTTTGATAGATCCAGCATTATTGCCAAAGATACAATTGTTTCTTTCTTCCCACACCCCTCACAACACTGCTGGAACTACCAAAATCCAGTAAAGCTTACCTCTCCTTGCCAAGACCTTTGCCATGCCACTGTCAAAGGAAGTCCAAAATGTGTTCGGAAGCAACCCAACCAACTGCAGCCAATAAGATTTAAAAGTAGGACCAGATTTTCCTTGTTTCTTGACAAAGAATAAAAAAGATGCTCAGCTGATTCCCCATCAAGGAGGCATAGGATACAAATGTGTGGGGAAATATATAATTTACCCCAATTCTTCTTTTGAACAAGGTCTTTCTTCGAGCAAGCTTCTCACACAAAGAAACAAACTCTAGGAGGAGTGCCAGAGCAAGAAATCTTCTTAGAAGGGAAGAACGAAGTCTGCTCACCTGCCACCAAAAGCCATAAAATAGGATTTGGATGAGAACTTGCAAGCAGGATGGAGTTTCCAGATACATTGGTCAAGGGAGGAGAGGAAGATATAAAGCCCCTTTGGAACTGGAGAAGATCAGCAATACCTCCAATCTCCACCTCTCTTAAAATTCTTTTAAGATTTAGGTTCCAGATAAGGACAGTAGAGGAAGAAAGGCAAGAGGATAAAGTTGCTTCTTCGTTTTTTGGGAATGGCTAAAAATTCTAGGATAGGAATCAGCAAAGAAGATTCACCCCACCAAAGGTAAGTCCAAAATTTGATTCTATTCCCATTTCCCACTTTATATCTAATTTTAGAGTTCCCTTTTCATCTATCGCCTGCACATTCATTATCTATTAAAATGTTGTCCACAATTTGATGCCCTTTTATAAAAGCATACTAATTGGATGAGAAAATTTCCTCCAACACTTGCTTCAATCTCCCCACCAAAACTCTGGCCAAAATCTTGTAAATAGTCCCAACTAAACTGACTGGTCTAAAATCTTTCACCTCCAGAGTTACTTCTTTTTTCAGAATTAAGCAGATAAAAGTTGGATTGTTTCCTTTAGCCAACCCCATATACTTGGGATAAGCCTTGGATGATGATGATGATGATGAAGTTGAATTGTTTCCTTTGTTCACAATAGCAGACTGATAGAAGTCCATAAAAACTTCCATTAGATCTTATTTAATTGTCCCAACAGAGCTGATAGAAAAACATAGAGAATTCATCTGGCTTTGGAACTCTATAGTCTACCCCTATCCATATTAAATACAACCTCCCTAATTTCTTGCTCCTCAAGTTCTCTTTCTAGACAAGTTGCCTTTTCTTCCGACAACATCAAACCCTCCCGGTTATTTATCTTGAACCTTCTATTCCCATCCTTTGAGTATAGATCCTTGAAATACTTTAAAATTGCCTGAGATAGCTCTTCAAGGTCCTCTACTTCTCTCTACCTCACCTCCAATTTTGAAATAGAATTTTCTCCATGCCTCCCTGTAACATAATTATGAAAAAATCTGGAATTGTTATCTTCTTCCTTCAACGACATTTCTTCTCTCCTAACGAAAATCTCCCAATCTTTCCTCAACTCCACCCTTCTACTTCTGCCCTGTATTTTCAGCAAACCATTTTACTCTTTAGGCTCCGTTTGGAAGGAGTACAAATACAAATATGTAGAGTGCAAAACCTTATATTTTGTATTATTTTGTATATAATTGTACTGTACATATTTGTATTTGTACTCTTTCCAAACTGAGACTTAAAACCCAGCTTGTCCAACTCTTAAAGGATTTTGTTTTTTTTTTCTTCTTCAGAGACTTTAAATTCCTCACTGTAGTTCCCTATTCAGAAACCAGAACCAAGCACATCCTTCCACCCTACACTCCTCCCCACCAGCTCACCACCTTATTCCTTATGTAATGTCCACACCTTCTCCACTCTCCAGCCTGAAGAACGCCTTTCTTTTTCTCACTTAATCTGCCTTATTGTCTTTAAAATAAAGAAAAATTGAAAAAAAACAGTTACTTTTTAACTTATACATATATAATAAATCTATATAAATATAAAATATTGAATTTATTGATCATAAAATTCATATAACTATATGTGATATTTACATGCATATATACATAAATTAATCAAACTCAGATTTTAATCAGGATCAGATGGCATCAAATCCACATCAGATCTACTTATTAAATGAATGCTGATTTAAATATATGAATCCGAAATAATTGGACCAGATTTCAGAGTTCACTGACAGCCAAATTATGCCGCGGGGGGGGGGGGCTTGTTTATTCCAATCACATAAACATGCATGGACAATAAATGCATAGTGCCAAGAATTTTAATATAGTTATAGAAGTGGAAGAAAGAAAATTGGATATTATAAATTGTTCAGATTTTTAATATGAAGGAATAGCAAAGGAAAAAAAATCACATGACAGATACCTGTAGGATGAGAACTGGATAGTCATTGATGTTAATCCAATAATTTGATGCCATTTATTTTCTTCTGAATCCTCTAGATAAACATTTAAGTTATTAATCCTCAGGCTACAATTAAGTGCAATCCTCCCTTGGGAAACATAGAATTCATTTGAATTTGCTTTTGACATATCTACTACGCGAGGTTCTTTCAACCAGCAGTACTGTGGTATTGCACTATCTAGTCTTGATTCGCCAGAGAATTCTTCCATAACAGCTTTTGGAGTTGGCCAAGCTGCAAGCTCAATGTTAAGGAGATCAACTGCAAGGTATAAATCACTATTGCCTTCTTTCAGTGATAGTCTGATGTTGGGACCAGCTATAACTACCCCAACATTAATGTTTTTCTCTGGGATTCCCCCAAACAACAACATCTTCAGTTCATTGGCATAGGACTTGTAACGATCTCCCCATTTAACTTCTGTTAGCTCATAAAGGATGTTAGGAGAAAGTAAAAGTCCCCTTGACCTATCCTTGCTACCAGCCCAACAAAGAGCAAGTTGTATCTGCCTTAATAGCAGAGCAATAGACATTACTGAGGAATACCCCAAATCAAGCTTCAACTTTCCCACAGTAGAACTACATTTCCAAACACTACAGTCTGGTCCATGGAGATAAGGATCCATATAAAAGCTTTTGATCTCACATAGTAGGAAAGGGTTCTCCAAATGGTCATTCATAGTTCCTTCAAATTTCTTGCAAGTTTGTTTCCAATTTGACCACAGTTCTTCTAAATAATTTTCCAAAATTATGACAAAATCATTCCCAGTAGAACCAGCAGAACCAGTTATGACATTTTCTGAAAGAAAATGTATAGCTGGCTCACCCCATAGAATTGCTTTAGACTCGTTACTTCTCTCCACTTTATGTCCTTTCAAATAGTTATTTATCTCTTTTCTTGAATTGCTCCTCATAAGAGGAGTTCCCAATGAAGTCAAGGTCACAACTTTGAAATCTCCAACAGAAAAAGATAGAGACTGCCCAGTGTAGCACGGTGCAAAGATTAACAAAAATGAATCAATTGTAAGACAAAATGAATGTAAATCAAACAGATAGGAGCCAATATGGGAATCTGCCTGTCCACTAAAATGGTGGTGACCTGCTGCAGGGGAAACAATGATTGAAATTTTTCCAAGCTTGAGACTGCAATGGCACTGTGAACAGGGGTTTTCAGGAAGAACTTCCAGGTGTCCATGTGGATCCAGCATATAGCTAAAGAAGACCAAATATGCCACTTTGTAGAATATGCAATACAATTTTTTCCAAACAATAGCCAACACTGACAAAATCTTCTTCGAGAGTTTGGTAAAGATACGCACTGGTGACCCAGAGCTGCTATGTTCAGTATCTTGAACATGCAAAGCTGCCCTATAACGTGCTATGCGCCGTGCCCGTGCAACAGCCTCTATTGGAAGCTCCTTCTCAATCTTGCAAACCAACTCCCATTGGCGTTTAACCGAGCTTGAAAACTTTTTATCCTGAGACATTCTAGTAGAAGATTCTTTGAATACCTTTTCAGAAGAGTACCCAACCAATGACAGCAAAAGTTTGTAAGCACAGACATGATGTAACCATAGCTTAACAACATCAACCAACTTATACATGGATAACTTGGGATTTGAAGTCAAATAACCAATTCGGCTTGCAACTATATTCCATAACTCTCTACCATTTCTAGTAGGTTTATCTTCTTTTAAAGATAGTATATCAAATTCCATAAGGATAGAAAGATCAACTGGAGAAAATGTAAAACTTATTTCAGCAACACAAAGATCAAATTCCACAGGTTGAAGATCATTCAGGTGAATGAAAGTGGAAACATCTCTAGAAAGAAAAACATGATTCAGATGTTGTTTTCTCTCCAGCTCAATCTCCAAACCACTGCTGTTCATTACCAAAGAGTTTTCTTTTCGAGAAATAAAAAGTGCACCTGCAAGCCCCCTGAAGAAGCAAGATTTGTCCTGATTCTGAGCTTCCACACTAAGCACTTTTGTCTTCAACACAAGGGCAAGTTGATCAACTGTATAAGGCAATTCCACTTGCAAACGAACATCATGCATTTCTAACTTGCAATGCTTTATCATAGTATTCAACAAAGAGGTCATAAGCTGATTTCTTTCTGTGCTGATGCTGGAAATCCTTCCAAGTATGTCATGCAAAGAGGTACCCTGAAATTCACAATATATGTAGCAAGTCAGACACAATGGCAAATCCAGATCATGGGAAATAAATTTGTTTTCAGTGATTTTTCATGAGTGTTTGTGTGTGTGTGACCACGCATAAGAGAGGGAGAGAGACCACCATTCCTACATAAAATCCAAGTTTGATTCTCTCACCAGACTGTGGTCCAGGTCAACCTTAGTCCAGTTTATATTTCCTTATTCCCTAAACTATTCATGAAGCAAACTAAAATTAAGCAGTTCTTCCCTTAGATTCAACTAAAAAACCAGTGAAGACATGTGTAAATGGAATCAAGTTCTGAATTGGGTACTACAGTTTGGACCATCCCATTGATGAACCACATCTTGCATTGAACTCATCCAAGTAGATGGTAAACCATTCAGTCAGACTTGGTGTTCGACCCGTCCTTAGAAGAACAAACGAATCAAAACCAGTCTCTTCCATGCCATGGGTTCCTGTAAAACTTTTAGCCGGATTACTTGTATCAGCATTCAATTATTTTTTGCGAGTACAAATCTGAAACGCCAGCGTCATGGCAACACCTACTTTTTCAAGGGAGCTACATCCCTTTATAAGTATATATCTAACCATTTTTGGGCACTGACCAATTAACCATCTTATCCCATATGTCCCAGACCCATCAAGGAAAAATGTATTTTAACAGCTGCTGATTAAACAAATAAGGCATTGAGAAGGAATACTATCCAGAGTCATTAACAAAAGGAAAGTTAATCAAACTCAAAAACCTCTGGATCAATGACAGAAAGAATCTCCTTCTCATACGAAGACGAATTATTCAAATTCTGCATCCGTTTCAAACGTCCCTCCTCCACCAGTCTCCTTCATATGGCACCAAAAAACCATCAAACCCAATAAAAATAAACAAACTCATCATGAGCGGAAAGGAATTCGAAAACTCGATTCAAATTGCAGGATACAAAGAGCAACATCCATACCTTACCGTTAGTATCACATCGACGCCATGCACCTCAATAGTAAAGGCAGGAACTGACCAATTAGAAAATCGAACGTTCATCCTTTCAACTCTAACGTCCATGAAAGATAAGCCTGCTGAGTTGCCGAGCAACTGATTGAGAGCGGAAGTGTCGAAACGGATATTTGTTACACTTCCTTGTGAACGAAGCAACCCTAACTTCAGCTCCAATTGTGGTTCTTCTTGCAGCCATGGCTGTAAAATGGAGACTAACTTCGACCTAATGAGATTACAGAAGAACATTTTTGGTGTTGAGAATTCCAAAGCTCATGAAATAAATAGTCTGTGTAATCGCCCCTTCGCCATTAAAGAATTGAAACTGTCTTGCAGATAAAGCAGGGGCTCCAATTTTGTTGCCATTCCTGAGTACTTGCCCTAATTTATCGTCGAGCAGAGAAAAGATTGTACACGAGGATAAATGGCGGCAAGGCGTAAAGGGTAAAGAGACTGAAGAAGGTGGCAAAGCTTTCTAGGCTTCCATCGTACCACAGTATACCTGCAAACTGATCCGATCAAATCGGATATTAATAGATCCAAATCTATATGGCCATGTCAGTTGGCCACGTCAGATGGCTTTCTCTCTTCCTTCAACCGAGAGCTTGTTATAACTTTTTTTTACACCAAATCAGCACCCCACAACATTGCCGCCCACTACATCTCACAGGACATTCCCGCCGTGTATTGAAAATATCTCCCGATGATATTCCTACCCTCAATAGCTCCCTCCACGCCTGCCCTGCCCACAAGATATTACCTCCATGAAATATTGCCAATGTATGACTGCGATGTTATGTGGGTAATTGTGGACAGAATTGTTGTAGGTATGAAATCTGGATTCATTTCTGCGCTCCCCTCTTCCTTTTCCACCTATCTTAATTTACCATCTCAACAGTCTCCCCCGCTCTCTTTCTCGAGATCACATCTCCGCCCCAGCACATCCCTGCCATGTATTGGGAACCTCCCGATGATCAATGATCGGGAGTGGTATTATCATCGAGAGATGTTTTTAATACACGGCAGAGATGTGAATTCCTCTTTCTCACCCCTTCAATCCAATTGGGATTACTCCTCATAGAGCATTCCACACTCCAATCTCACAGATACATTCCATCATGTATTGGGAACATCTTCCCATGAATGATAAATACAAATAATAGAGATGTTTCTCATGTACAGCCAAGACATACTGTGATGGTGGTGTTAGGAGCAACCACGCTTTGTATTCATGACATAATAGTAGATCTTCATTTTAACCAATCATCATAAAAACTTTCTTTCCCTCCCAAACATCTGTTTCTTCGAGTTTTCAAGTTCAATTTTTCAACTTCAAAACAAATCGATGAAATCATCGTCAAGTTCGTGCTAACATGTATATAGTCGGTTCATCAGTTAATAACTTAGGGTCCGTTTGGTTCACAATTGCAAGCAAAGCCATGTTTGATTCACAGGAATAGGGGTTTGGAATCGGAATAGCCCAACTGTTTGGTTGGGCAGAATCGGAATTTCATTCCCATTCTTATTGCAATGGCATTCCCCCATCTAAGGGAATGACCATTCCCTGCCCCTCCTCCCTTAGGAATGAAATCTCATTCCTACTAATTTTAATTCTCACTCTCATTCATGTTTAAATCAAACAGATTATGGAAATGGACCATTCTGATTCCATTTTCGGAGGATTATGATTTTGGTTCCAACTATAAACCAAACAGACCCCAAAGTTCATTGGAATCGGAATGGGAATGCTATTCTCATAGTTTGTTTGGTTCAGACAATAATGGGAATGAAAATTAAAACCAGCAAGAATAGGGTTTCATTCTCAAATGAGGGGCAGGGAATGACCATTCCCTCAAATGGAGGAATGTCATTCCAGTAGGAATGGGAATGAGATTCCGATTCTATCCAACCAAACAATCGAAATCGGAATAGCCCATTCTAATTCCGATTCCAGATCCCTATTCCTGCGAACCAAACGGGGCCTTAGTTTTTTTATATTCTTCCTTGGATCCAAACTCAAAGCAGGGGTTTTCACCCCTTTTCTTTCTGAATATAAGTTAGATTTCTTATCTTCAACACGGGAGCAACCATCATCAACTTCAGCGTCAAGTTCCTACTAACACGTCTACAACAAGTTCATTAGGTCTTTTAATACCCTTTTTTGTTTTATTTTTTAAATGACAGAATAAGGGCTCCGCCCCGTTCTCTTTCTAAATATAAGTTTGAGTTTCCATCTTCAAAACAATGGTGGAACAATCATTTTCATCTTCAAGCAGTCATCGATCAAAATTAGATCATCAGGTATTCTGTCATATTTGTCTTACATTTTTTTCTACCAACAATGTTTGTTTCCACCAAAGTAAATAACACATTTGAGGCTTTTGAGTAAAAATTGGCTCTATTTTTAAGTATTTAGATTTTATCACTTGTGCCCATAGTCTCTCAAGTTCATTAGAAGTCTCCAGATTTCCCATGAGCCTTAATTCATTTCCCATAATAACTTCCCTAGGCCTAGACCCCTTCTTTTTTGAGTATAGGTAATTTATTCCAGCCTTCTTACTGTTATTTTCCTTTCATGAGAAATTTCCATGCAAGCCTTCCATTTCTGAAATGAAACCCGTGGGAAGCAAGGCAAGGACATGGCATACACCCGCAAAGCTTGAGACACAACTTTAACCTTTGTTATTCTTTCTGCTTGAGAAATTAAGTCTGCCTTCCAACGTTGAGAATGCCCCCACTAAATAGGATCGAACTCTTATTTTTTATTTATTTTCGCCTGTGTCATTTCTTCCAACTAGGCTGTATTTGGAAATGAAGTAAATAAGTGTGAATGCAAATATGTAGAGTATAAAATGGTTCATATAAATTGTAAAATTGGGTTAGTTTTGCACTCACAAATTTATTTTCTTACCAAATAGACTTTCATTTGTAATGGATGCGAACATGAATTCCAATAAAGCATATGTTTTTTTTATCAAAAGCCCACTTGAATGCAAATTTACTTTTTTTTATCGATATACTTTTACATCTTATTATCAATGTAAATATGCATTGGTCTATCATTTGTCAATGCATAAATGTAATGTTGCCAAACACATGCAAAAGTGAACCAAAGTGCAAATTTACCCTGAACCAGGATTTACACTCCATTTGCATCGTTTTCAAACGCAGCCTAAGAAGTAATTGTTAAAGTGCATTCAATATTGTGGTTTCTTCCTTATAGAAGAAAAGGCAATCATCTACAAACAACAAATGTGTAATAGAAGCAGGGAAGGACTTTGACAGATATACATTTAATTTTCCCTTGAAGTTCTACATTTTTGCTCAGTTTGGAAAGAATACTGATGAAGGGTGATTTGGCGTGACCTAGCGAGAAGGGGACACATGGACACGACCTAACTAAGGGATGACAACTCAGCCTAGCAAGACTAGTTCGCAACGTTTGAGCTCAGGTGCTCAGTCACCTTGGCACAGAGTCACCTCGGCGCAGAGTCACCTCGACATTGGGACACCTTGGCATTCAATACAGTTCAGAACTAAAAAACCGAAGTGTTAGCTCGGGGCTATCAACCCGAACTGCCACATAACGACTCCGAAAGTTTCTCTAGTAGACTCCGAACCTCATGGGATCACACCGCGTAACGGCAGGTCTAATCTTCTCCCCGCCTGGATCGGGCGGAATTGATAAACTTTATTAATTGATACGTTACTCCCCAATTAAAGTGGAAACGGATCCCCTCAGGACGAAGATCTTGGAACCGATTCGCAAAACCCGCGAGAGCTCAACTATATAAAGGCACCAACCCCAATGGCACAAGGTACGCGTGATTCTCGGGGGGCAGGAGAGGTCGCTCCTGTAGTACAAGCGGAACCGAGCTGGATCGACCCACTCGTGAGTTACCTGCTTCACGAGACCCTCCTTGCAGAATGCAACACGGCCCGAAGGGTAGAGCGCCAGTCGACCCACTCGTGAATTACCTGTCCTTCACGCTCCCCTACTTGCGGTGCTTGCGACCCTCAAAGGCCGAGTACATACTCCGCGATACCCATGAAGGCTTGTGCAGCGGACACTTGGGGGGCAGGGCTCTCGCACAGAAGGCGTTGCGGCAAGGCTACTACTGGCCCACGATGAAGGCAGATGCACTCGAGCTCATCAAGAAGTGCGACAAGTGTCAGAGGCATGCCAACATCCACCACCGACCTCTGTCAATCTGAAATACCTCACTAGCCCATGGACCTTTGCGCAGTGGGGAACCGACATCCTTGGTCCATTCCCGCCAGCGGCAGGACAGAGGAGGTTTCTAGTCATAGCAGTAGACTACTTCATGAAGTAGATGGACATTGAACCTTTGGCAACAATCACAACCTGCAACATACAAAATTTCTTTTGGAAGAACATAGTATGTCGCTTCGGGCTACCTCGGGTACTCATCTTCGATAATGGGAAGCAATTCGAGGATATTAAGTTTCAGAATTGGTGTGTCAAAATGGGAATTCAGCAAAACTTCACCTCAATGGCACACCCCCATGCGAATGGGCAAGCGGAAGTCACTAACAGAGCCATACTTTGCGGACTGAAAGCTCACTTAGCTCGAGCCAAGGGGTTGTGGGTAGACAAATTGCCTAGTGTCCTCTGGGCATACCGGACTACCATTAAGACTATCACAGGTGAGACTCCTTTCAACCTCACTTACGGCACAAAAGCGGTGATCCCAGCAAAAATTGAGGTGCCCACACTACGTTTAGAGGCCTATGACGAAGAGACAAATGATGACGAGCTCCGTACCAACCTAGACCTGGTAGAAGAGGTACGAGACCTGGCGTACATCCGGATTGCAGCCTACCAACAGAGAGTAGCTCGGTACTATAACGCCCAAGTCATAAAGCGACACTTCCGCGTCGACAACCTATTTCCGAGTAAGACGGGTGTTTGGGGAAATTACGTACGAACTCGAGACTTTGGAAGGGAAGCAAGTACATCGAGCATTGAACATTGGCAACCTAAGAAGGTACTACTCGGGATCACTGAATTGGTCAATAAGGATCACCGAACTGGAGAGGAATGCAAGTCACTCCCAGAAGCCCAAGGGCCATGATGCTGAGCTGACACAAGACCTCGGCACTACGATAAGTCCTAGTCGCCTCCTCAGCATAGGAAGATAAGTCCTACTCGCCTCTTCGACATGGACTGACAAAGTCCTATTCGCCTCTTCGGCATAGGCAGACAAGTCCTAGTCACCTCTTTGGCATAGGCAAACCAGTTCTCACGCCTGAGGCATAGACAGTTCGGGTACAAACCCTACTATGTCTAGCCCACCTCGACATATAACAACAGGTTGATCCCATTTGAAGCCAGGCCCAACGGCTCGACACTAAGGGATAACCGACACCTAAGCGAGTAGCCCGTGTGCAGACAGGTCGGGTATATACCCTACAGTGTCCGCCTACCTCAGCGTACAACGATGCGAAGTTATCCCTACTCATAGTCCAGCTCGTTAGCTCGACAGTTCGGGGTAACCAACACTTAAAAAAAATCTACTCCTATTTTTGGTTTAGTTCGCCAGTTTGGGAGTTATTTACACTTAGAAAATTTTTACACAGAGATTGCCAAAAGAAACTTTCACTATGAACCGAGCTCGGAGGCTCGAGGTGTACATCATAAAGGTCCAAGAAAAGAGGCAAGAATCATGCGTCCGAACTGCCGGGCAGGTCAGTCCCCATGCGATCCTCCTCCGCATCCTCTCGACCTGACGGGCCCGCCTTGGGGACTTCATCGTCGCTTTCCTCTTCGGAGGAGCCGGGTTCTTCGTT